TGCGTTTTTCGCATTGCATTGCTGCAAAAAACGCATAAAAACGGCAACTCACCAAGAGTGAACAATTCATGCAAATCATTGCTTTTGAAAAACCTTCGTTGCTTCGGGTCGACCAGTATGCGATTGGAGAGAAATACTTTGAAGATTTGTCTGAAATTTCGAGAAAAGTTAAAAATTTGCATTTCCTTCAGCAGTAAAACTAAATTTTTGCAGTACAAGATGTAATTTCTTCAGCTGGCGTTACTTCGTATTCTTTAGCTTGCCTGTGATAAATTTTTTCTTCAATTGTTCCACTGGTCAGTAACCTGTAAATGGTCACAGATCGCTCCTGTCCAATACGCCATGCCCGCTCACGAGCCTGGAAATTAATTTAAAATTTTCAAAAGTAAACATAATTCCATGAGGATTAGGGGATAGGAGGTGCAACTTAATGCTGCCCCTCATACTGTTATTTTCCCAGTTCATCAACGCATGAGAACAGTATATCCTCCCAGTGCAACTCCCTTCACAAATTCACAGTAAGCAAGCCACAGGACCACACAACTCGGCGAATAGAATGTGACAGATTCCATAATTCCTGCCCGGAAAGCAAGAAGGGAGAAATTGACGCCTCGTTTAACAGCAGGATGACCACCAGGCGCTGCAGAGTCGGACACAAGCATGAAAAAAATGCTAGCTGCGACGGAAAAGTGAAGACATGCAACGACGAAGCGCAAAATGGCCGGGCGATTAAAATGTACAGATGAACAGTAATGAGAGAAATGAGCAGAGCAATCCAAAAAATGCGCATACCTGTATGTCGGTAGACGGATTCCAGTCTGGATCAAAAATCACCACACGATTTGCACCCGTAAGGTTGATGCCTAATCCACCAACGCGAGTAGTTAGGAGAAAAATAAAGATTTCATCGTGCTGAAAAATTATAAAATGTGCAATCGGTGGCGGAAAACCCTTGCATATTTAGGAATAGTGACGGAAGCTTAATGCGATAGCCAGGACGAATCCCTGAAATATGTGGAGAATTGGAGGAAACAGGCAAAATCCACACATTAAAAAAAAGCCAGTAGTTTTGGGGATAATTCCCATCTTTGAAACATACCGCAACAAATCCTGTCTTTTAGCTGACAGTGCTGTTTTGAGAGAAAGCAGACAGTATCTACAAAAAATAGCGCACAAAAAAATGACTGTTTTTGAGGACATTTTTGAGTTAGTTACAAGCGCAG